ATACTTTTACCCTGTGTGGATTAGAAAACATCCTAAATAAATTCAAACTTGCACACCCAATTTTGGTTTTTAAAGTCATTATGTATGTATACTGTACAACCATTCCACCCTGGAAAAACAACAGTTCAAAGAAATCATTCAAAGCACATAATTAAAATTACTGCAATATTCATGCCTGTGATGAATGTATGTAAACTTCTGAGCACCACTGTATATCAAAGCATTTGACTTCATTCGTATCATTCAAACTCTTTCTTTCAGTGTTTATGTTGTATGAACTTAAACCTGGCATTTTAACTTGGTATCATTTATCTCTTTCAAATTGATTATCTTGAAGCATAAAGAGCTCAAACAACAAACACATCTGTAACTGTCCCAGTACTCACAGTGTGTCTGTGCATCAAATCACTTTTAGATGAAAAATGATTACGACAGTACAGAAAGCAAATAAATTTCTCTTTTACACACCAAGACACATAAATCTACTCAGACTACATTTTCAACACAAGCTTCTCTGAACTCCTTATAGATTAGAAATCAAAGAAGTGTCCTGGACTAGCTGCTGCTTCTGACAGGGCGTCATTCATGTCCGGCTGTGTCACAATGATACATTGCATGTGCTTCATCCACCTCAGCTCACTAGATATTTTGATATTTCAATGAAATGGTAAATAATGCAGTCAAAATGTTTCCTCTTCTATTAAACTGTTTCTCATAAAATAGTTTAAAAAATGTTTTTTTTTAAAAGAATCCCACTGGCACTGGTAATCGTGTGAATAGTGATTTCATCAGGTGTGTTGAGGCATGCAACAAAAATCCACCCATCCATTTTTTTCATGCTAATAATTGCCCTTCTCCTCCCTCTCTATCATGCAGAAGTGGACTGTGGTCATCCAGGTATACCTCCGCACGCAGTCATGAGTGGGGAGAAGTTTACATTTGGATCCACAGTGCGCTACTCATGCCTCGGAGACCACCAGCTAATAGGAGACTCATCACTCGCCTGTCAACTGAATGGACACTGGAGTGGTCCGCTGCCCCACTGCTCAGGTACACAGATACACAGAAATTTAGGTGTGCATATAAACAGAGGCAGTCCTGAACACATTCAACCTATAAAACAATAAAAGTCTGGCTTTTTTACTTTGCCTTGAGAATTTTAAATCAGTATTCGGGTATTTTAGTTTATTGTGTAAATTCCTTTTAATCTCCGTCCTTTAATTTGTATTTCTAAATTTATGGAAAGTGATGTGATTTAAAGGTTTCATTTAAACACTTTTTCCACACTTAACCTTTTGTCATATCCACACAAGAGGTTAAGTGTGGTTTTGGTTTGATTTGTGGAGCTTTGAGATATCTCTAGAATATCTCAACATGCTCCAGTATGATAGAGTTTAATGGAATTGTGTTTGTGGTGAAAAATTCAGCATCAGCATCTTTTTTTTTTTTACAGAAGAAATGTCCAGTTCTCTGAATAATGGCACAGGCTACTGTTAAATAGCATAAATTGAATTTGTCAATGCTAGAAGCAACACACACATAATTTAGTTCAATTTATTAATCAGGTTTTAAGACAAATTAAACCAAAACTGTCTGTATTTGTGGAATAGTGCAAGACGTAGATGAAACAAGAGATAAGACTGCATTTTATTTGAAACCTACCAGATTATTCAAATTAATACAGCAACACAATGTCGAAAGGCTTCAGTGTGCTAGTATTAATGGGATATTGGGTCAGATATCAGCCAAGTGAGCCAATTATTGCCCACAAATTAAGACCCTGTGGAGCTCTTACTGGATTTAATGTACATTTGCTCATTATTGCGAACAATTTCCCCATCTACTCAAAGCAGTATTTCACTTTTAGAGCAGGCACTCCTGTTTATCTGACATATCTGCATTTCGCTGATGAAGACCAGAAAAAGTACACAGAGCCAGATTAGTGCCAAACCGTAGCCCTTACTCATCGTTTCTCTTCATGACCAGGATGTATGTATTTGCACCTAAACCAAAGAATTTGGCAACGCAATTGTTGCTTCCTGCCGAGACACTCAAATTGAGTGAGCGATATCACCCTTGACAAAACCTCTCTTTTTTTGCACAACTTTGTTTACTATGTTCAGTACATTAGGCCCGTGAATCTCCCCTTGATGTTTTCTGAAAACTGTAAAAAAAAAAGAGAGAGAGGCTTATAGCATGTCTGCAGAACTTCAAACTCCCCCCTTAATCCCCCCTGAGCACTTTCCTCTCATCACACTTAAGCATTCCTGACCATTTAAGTGGATTCTCTTTACGGAATGTTCACTTTCTTTGCTCAACTCACTGACCCAGAAGTAATATTTGTAAGCAGACTTGTGTGGCGGTTATTTTTTTCCACTTCTTTCAATGGGAGTGTGAACTCTCTACTTACCTTATACTTATATTCTATTTGCTCAGACAGTTGAGAAGTACTGAGGCAATACAGACGTTAGATTCTTAGGGCAGAGCGCAGATGCACAAGGAAGCACAGTCTCAAATTTATCCCACATAGTTTTCATTTCATTATTTCATTGCAAAATAAAACAGAGAAAACAAATGCACAAAGGTTTAGTCTTTCTTGGAACCTACATTGTCTTGTGAAACCAATAAAGCATATAATTGTACTGTTATTGGTTTTACAAAGCTAGATAATGATTCCAGGTATTTTTATTTTTATTGCCTATCACCTAGATTTTAAAAGCAGTTTGGCGTTTGATGGCAAGGCAATTTGATCAGCATGAGCTCAAATAGGGTTAACCCTAACCCTCTGTAACACTACCCTAAAATTCCTGTTTTTATCATGTTTTTATACACTGCATTATTCTTGGCTAAATAAATTAAACATTTAACCGCCAGTCTTGTTTTTTTGTTTTTTTTTATTTAACTTGTCTAAACATAATCAACATCAACTCGTGAAAAATTTGATCACTGAAGCCAAAATCAGATCTGTTCCTGACTATCTATAATGTCGTTGTCAAGTGCATTGCTGTTAAGCGAGTAAATATCTGGAGAAACTTCTGCAGACCAACAGTCCTGGGCCACAACAACCAGATAATTCAATTGGAAATAAGAAACCTTTAGCTTACTGTAACCCAAGAAGTTAAAGGAGAAATATGGTCACAAAATATGGACTTTCCTTGTATATACTTAGATTACAAAATGCAGATTAAATAACTTTGTGCTGAAACACATTTTGTATTAATATAGCAGATGCTGCTTAAACGTAAAGGGGTACTTCTTTCAAACCAAATACATTTGTGATCAAAAATGATCTTGAATCATCTCTGGGAACTTATTTGTGCAGTTAAAAAGAAAAACCTTGAGGATCCCGTATTCAGCAAGTGAAAATAAAATAAACAATAAAAGGTGAATCAAATGGACCATTACGGCAAAGCTGGGATGGTCAATTTGGTAAAGTAAATCCGTTGGGCATCTTTCTTCATTTATTGTCTTTCTTTAGACAATAATTCTGATGGCAAAAGAGCCAAACGGGACAGGCAAAAAAAAAAAGAAAACCTTGGGGAGCTACTACTCAACACCACTTTAAAAAAAATATAAGAAAATCTGGTTCCTCAGAAGCAAAATATTAAGAAAAGAGAAATGGCTCAAGACTTTGACATAGTACTGCACCAGTGTCACTGGAAGGAAAATAACCACAGGGCATGATGCTTCTGCCTCTTTGCTTAGCAGGTGGTGGTGTGTTCTTGGTGTTGAATGACTCACCTATAATCCTCCTTGCATAACTGTGGTTATTGAGGCCAGGCAACTCAATCTTTGCGTCACTTAAACATATAAACTTGCCATTCGAAGGCTTTTTCTTGGACCCCTTTAAAGGCGTTGGATTTAACTGTTAAGTAAATTTGGCATGAATGTCATCACCACATGATGGTCTGTGTGGCTGCCTGTTTTGGTGCCTGCATGAACTCATCTGCAGAGAATTTACATTACAATGCATCATCTACACATGCACCCAGGTGCTGCAATGACTACTCACCTGTTGGGTCTCTGTCTGTCTCTGTGTCCACAAATAGGTGTAACCTAGACTTTAGTCCACATTTTAGCAACATCAGCACAATGCTTTATCCTACACAGTTTAAGCACTTTGTTCATGGATATGAGGTATACAATTTAGAATCGCCAATTAACCTGACATGTCTTTGGACTGACACTGTGGGAGGAAGTTAGAGTACCTGGAGGACATCCACACGTGCAAAATCTACACAGAAATCCCCAGGCATGCACCTACAGGTCTCCTTGTATATTCTTTGGACACACTTTACAAGATCACTAACAAAAAGCATTGATAAGTGTCAAGACATTTATTGAAATTTCAGACCCATCCTTCCATTTTCTTCCACATCATGGGTGGGCAGGTCACAGAATTAAAGATAGAGACAGAGGAGCATCTGCACTCACATTGACACCCATTGTGACTTTAGAATCACCAAATAATCTGACATGTGTCTGGACTGTACAAGGTAGCCAGAGTAAGTGGAGGAAACCCACACAGGCACAGAAAGGACAAACAAACAAACTTCACACGGTAAGGCCCCAGTCTGGCCTTAAACCAGGAACCTTTTTGCTGTGAGCCGTCGGTGCTAACCACTGTTCCACTATGCTGTGGCAGTATTTTTCAGGTCTTAGCAAAGGGCCTGCACTCACCCATAGATTATACAACTGTTTAACTGATCATAGCTGGAATATGAAATACTGAATAAAAAAGTGGCTGCAAGAGACATTCCTGACATGTGTAAATTTACATCACTAACACAAACTAAGAGGATAAGTTTGACAAGCTTGTTAAGTTTCAAGAAATCTTCAAACTTTTAAACTAAACAGTTGGATGTGTGCATACTATTAAAATTTATGTATACTTTTTTTTTTAAAGAATTCAGCCATTTTATCTTCTTTTTTTTTCACTCTGACAGATGTATGCAGAGCAGTCACTCAGGCCCAGAAAAAGAACAGATGAAACCTTCATATCTCTAATGAATCCCTAATGTGGACTGACAAGCAGAACTATAACCTATAGGTGCAGTATCTAAATACAGACTCGAGCAGGAAACTGTGACACTCAGAACTCGGATTATGTTGATACAGATCGGGAAGGCTTCGTTCCATCACGTTGTCACATAGTATTATATGTAACTGCAGCAGAGCTCCTAATTAACTATGAAAACTGCAGCTTATAATGGGAAGAATGTACCATTGTAGATCACTAGCTCATCATTAGGAGGCTTGATGAATTTAGACCTGGCAGTAAACATCTGTTCCAGCTGTAGCAGAAACGGGAACCACAACACAGCTGGAGCTCGGTTGTTGCCTACAGGAAGTGAAGTTGCGAAGCACCAAATGCCTGCAGAGTTTTAAATCAGTGCAAGTGTACACTTTAGCACCTAGTTTTAACTGGCACATCAGCCTAAAGAATTGTCAGACTTACTACAACCATGTTATCTATCTATAAAATGTTAATCTGTGTTTAAATGTTTCTCTCGCTCTCTCTTTTTTTTTTTTCCAAGTCCCTGCATGATGTCTCGTCCTTTTACTCTAAGCTCCTGCTTTGTTGATGGCCATATTTGTTTACAGAAAGGTTGCTACATTGTCTAGAGATAGCTTTATCAGTGCTATGGAAATACCACATTATCATTCTCAGAGAGTATTCATCACCAGTAGCAACAAAATAAGTATAACTATAAATTAATCAGAAGTCCAGCCCAGCGTCAGCAGCGGTTCTCATCCATGCGCATGTCTATGCATCTATCCTTCCGCTCTCATCTGCCCTCTCTTGTTAATTAGTACGATGGGTCTTAAAACCTCTTGCCAGTCCATTCCCCTTTTGTCCTAGTCTGTTGCATGGCTGAGTTGAAGGCCTTATTATTTCCTCACAAAGGGAGCCTGGTGAACGGACATTAACTCCCGATTCAAACCAAATCCACCACCATCCCAATTAGTAAGATTATAGCTGTCACAGTGCATGCCGAGTCAGCCTGCCTCACCTAACCAGAGGAGACTAATGAAGTACCGACAGCTGCTGTGAGCCATATATACACACCCACACACACATAAAGAGACACATACGCACGACATTGGCATGCGCGATATGCATGCATATTCTGAACTTGCATGCAGAGATGAGAACAAGTACAAGCACTCACATGTATGCTGTAATGGCACACATATATATGGAATGACATACACATTCATGGCCAAACACAAACTTATCTTCTCCAGCCGTGGGCCCTTGACCTGACAAATGCAGTTTGTGCACATTTGAGCAGTGGGATGTGTGTAGAAGATATGAGCTTCGTGTTTGTGCAGCGAGGCTTTGTCAACAAGTCCAGTATTACTGCAGCTGTTTGCTGCTGTGTAAACGGAGAACAGCTGCAATCAAGCAGGCAGTGATCCACGGGGTGTGTGCACAGCTCAAGGAACAGGATCTTAAAGCCAATAAATATAAATCCATCAGAGAGATCATCTATCTGTCTATCTATCCTTCTATCAATTTAAATGTCTGTTTCTATAAATCTGCATCTCTCTGTTTGTTATTCCTCTGAAGCCAAACATTTGACTTTTTTTTCTATCTTCAACTCCTTTCTGTGAGAGAATGGAGCAGCAGCAACAATAGAAGTTGGTTCTATGTGTGCTTCTTTCCTTTGGTCTGATGGATGTCTCTAGTGAATACAAAACTACCCCACCAAAGACTCCATCCTAAAAAATGCACCACTCAGCTAGGCTTGCTCTTCATCGCAACGTAAAATCTTCAGCAGTGATGTCACTGCCCTGATTCCATACCTGGCATCTCTCTCTCATTTCCGATGGCTTAGAAGGAGAACACGTCCTATTTCTGTCAGCCGACAGAGACAAGACTAATGGAAACATAAAGGGAATTAGTGAGAGAGACAGCAACTTTTTTTATGATTTAATTCACTGACATGCATGATAGGTGGTGTGAGGTGGTGACACTGAAAGTACTGTATGTTCCTCCACAGAACAAAGGACAGAAGGTATATTTCAAGATAATGAAAAAGCATTTATCTCTAGAGGTCAAACGGTATTCATCATTTCACATAGCCACAGCTGGTTGCCTTTTAATGCTAGCTCTGCTGATTTTATGGACAGAAAGCTCCTGGTGTCAAAACTATGAGAAGTATTGGTCCTCCAGGCTGTTGGCATGGTGACAACTGCTCATCGGTGCATTGTATGTTTTACGACTGGTTCCTGGAAGACTCAGGCGTTATCCAGTTTGACTCAAAGCCCTCCTTGTATTGTCTTCTGTCTCGCAGACAGGAACATTGTGTTGCAATTCACTGCCGTACAAACTTAAAAGGATCCGTCTGAGAACGTACACACAGTCCGTGAGGTGGATGGCATCTTCGCCGTCTTATTTTCATTGCTCAATGTCTGTTTTATCTCTCATTGCAGGTGACTCAACGGGCACCTGTGGGGATCCAGGCACACCTGCCCATGCCAGCAGGGAGGCAGGGAACTTCAAAGTGCGCAGCAAAGTGCGCTTTACCTGCGCAGTGGGACATACACTGTATGGCTCAGCAGAGAGGATCTGCTTCCCCAATGGGACCTGGTCTGGCAAACAGCCATTCTGCAAACGTAAGAGAAACCTTTAAAATATCGCTTTGATGTTATGTAGGAAACACGCTGGAGTCAAACTGAGAGCTAACACACAAATATTTCTTTACACAAAGGCACACATTTAAGCTCCTACAGATACAGAGAGAGCTGCGTGGTTCCATGAGGCCACGTACTGAATCCCGATAGTTTCTTGTCTTTCTGGTAGAAAGAAAAGAAACATGCGGCGCTGAATATTACCAGATATCTGGTTTGAAGGGCTTTTCTTTTTGAAGCGATCAGACTTTATCCGCTTTAAACCTTATTTGGATTATACTGTAGGGTTATCCAGACAAAGTTCTTGAACCTCTGCTTTATGTTAAAGGGGCACTCCACCACATAAAGTTGGGTTTGGTTGTTGCAGGAAGCAGTAATCAACTGATGAAAAGGACTGTCTCTTTGGAGAGAGTCTCAAGTTTTAATATACAACTCATTTTACCAAAAAAGACATGAAATAACCCTTGGGCTTACGATTTAAAAGACAATGGTCGCATTATGGGAAGGACTGAAGCTTAAAGTTAGAAGAGAACTTCAGAAGTATTTCAAAGTTTCTAAAAGTATAGTACAAATTGCTGTAAAGCCACTTTAAGCATTGTGCAAGTGCAAAATAAAGAATCAGCATCGGTTGTGGTATCCACAGTTTTCAAACAGGACGTGGCATTTGCTTAAACACACAATGTATGCAACATATTGGCTGCATTCTAGCACATACAAAAAGCTCGCAAACACAGCACTGCAGCAGATGGATAAATAGCTCTCTGCTGCAGTCTGGTATTTTCTGCCAGCACATGGTGCTGTGACTAGCTTCCAGATTGCAGCCGAAAAATTCATTAATTCTAGACACCTAAAGCCAAGTTCCTTTTGGATTGTGATAAATGAATCATTGTGGATTTTGAAGATATTAGTTCACAGAATGCCAGCTCTACATCTTGCATAAATTAGCCCCAGGGGTCAACCGGATATTGATGCAAATGTTTGACTGCTTCTCCTCTCCTCAGCTTACTGTCCACCAGCTTGGATGAGTGCCAGTGTCATTTTTAATATAATCAGCAAATGCACAGGTCCTCTGAACTACTCTGCCTTTCATTCCATCTCCTGACTTTCTTTCTTTTCCCCCCTTTCTCTAGCGTTCATTTCTCCAACACAGGCCCCTCCTCTTCTGATTCCTTTCGGTCTTAATCTCGTTGTCTAGCCATCTTCTCATCCCTATCTGCCATCTAACCCTCTTCCCTCTCATTCCCTCACTTTGTGTTCAACCTTTTCCTCCCTCTCTTTATTACCAAGCGTCTCTCTTCCACTAGCTTTTTATCTGTCCATCTCCCAGCTGAACTCCTGATTTAAAGATTACTTTAACTATCTATTCAACCGTCGGGAGTCAGGGAGGGGGACAGGAATTCACTGGAGCCTGAATGTGTTTCTGTGCTGTCTGCTTGTGATCTAAAACCCTGTCTCATGTTAAAGTCCATCCATTCATTATCCACAACCCCTTTACAGTATCTGGAAAAACAGTCAGTGTGGATATTCAACATGATATACATCTCACGTTGCCATGAGGGTCTGTTTTGTGTGTCTGTCATCGTGTCGATCTTGAATTATTAAAAAGAGGTGAGAAAAGAGGCTGCCGCACTTGATTTTTGGTAAATACACACAACAGCACAGTAAATACATTCTGTGGTTATATGTGCGCACGCATGTGTGTGTGTGCATTTGCAGAACAGAGCTGTGAGCATGCTGGCAGTTGGTATGTTGGTATGTGGCTGAGTGATGCGTTTGCACCTCAGTGAGTTTCTGCGTATGCACACATGTTAATTGAGAAATCACCACCACGCTTGCAACACGTCTGTCTCTTACTAGAATCACTATTTCACATTTTCCAGGCAATTAGGTGATTGAGAGAGCAGATCACTTTTGTAATTAGACATGATTTGAAGCAGAAGAAAAACACATGAAACAAACTGTCCTCTCTACTCTTCAGTGAAAAAAATGAGCAGATTTCAAAAACACTGAAAGGAATTCCTGAGTGGGGGGGAAAAAATCCCAATCCCCGGTGCTTTTCTACCACACTGGAAAAATCTTTTCTCCCTATCATAGGATTGCTCAGCCACATTTCAGCTTTATTATCATTATAAGTGCGCCCTGAGTCCTTAGCTGTAACTGTTCACATTACCCCCTCGCTTTTAGACAGCACTGCCATCACCATAGATGTACTGTAGGACTTGACAATACACAAACTGCACTTTATTTACTGATGACTCATCAATACTGCGATAAGGTTTTGTGTACCACTGCATCAGTTCTGCTAATTAGCCTCTCTTAATAAAGCTCTATAGATTAGTTGTTCTTTACTGCATGTTTCACAGCTTCTCTAAAAAACAAAAAAACAAGCAGCAGTGCTTTCTTACGTCCCGTAATGGGAGGCACAAAGACATAATGAGGAACACAAGCCAAGGATTTCAGTCTGCCCTTTGCAGACTATTCCACCTGAGAGTTAATCAGACACAAGTCAAGAAACTGCAAACATACAGCAGGTCAAAGGCAAAACAGCAATTATTCCATAAATAAATATTTATATTCACAGTATCGTGCGTGAATATGTCCTTTCACAGCCATTTAATCCCCTCGGGACCTTCAGAAGTCATCTTGAAGCCACCTTCGGGGCTTCTAACCCACTGATATGGAAAATAGAAAATCCATTACTATTTTACACCTCTGACCTTCACATCCTGTTTTTTCTCCCCTGTATTGCAGCGGTACAGTGCGGGAATCCAGGTACCCCGGCTCACGGTCGTATTTCCCGTTTGGATGGCACAACCTTCTCCCACTCTATCGTGTATTCGTGTATGGAAGGATATTTCCTCACTGGTTCGCCTACACGCCAGTGTCTGGCAAATGGCACATGGTCTGGCACAGCTCCAAACTGCACAAGTGAGTTTTGCACACACAGACACATGAAAGGAGGATGTAGTTGTGTCTCGTAGTCATGGTGAATTTCTTTAAAAGGCCGCTCCGCTGCACAGCGTTCACACTTTCATTATAAAATGAGAAGAAGAGCAGCTGTGTCAGTAGTCACTGTTAAAGGCTATGCCGTGATCGGTGTCTGATCAATAAGATGTGGTCAGGCATAGTCCAGATTCTGTCACTGCGGTGAACAGGGAACACACATCTTAGGGATTTCAGTGTTGCTTCGTTAATCACATTTAGTTCAGTCACACTTAAGTCTGGCAGTCGTTGAATTTGTTACTCAAGAACTAGAACACACGCGCACACAAAGAAAAAGTTAGAAAATAGGACAAGAACGATTAGGCACTCCTCTGGGTGTGATGGGTAAACACAAATTGAATGTGGAAAAGGATGATCAGCACAATAATGCACAGCGAATGTACTGTTAGCATAGCAGATTGAATCAGCAGCCAGTCTCGTTCTTTATATAATGTATGATCAAGTTGAACACGATGGACATTGAACGTGATGTTGTGCTCTCTTTCATCTGAAATCACGTGCGCTGGCAGCGGTGCGGAAATATATGATATCGATTAAGACAAATCTCTTTGAGCCTGTTCGCCCAGCGAAGCATCAAAGATGTCAGGCAGTTTTTATTGTCTGGATCTTGGCAAATGAGCCTCAGAGTAATTAAGAAGTATTCCAATCTATATTCAGTTTGCATCAGGATGACTTTGAAACAAAATTACACATTGTTCGTCTCTCTGAAAGTCCCCATATTCTCTCTTCCTTATTCTTTTTGCTTGTTATTGAATGACAAGGAAAAGATAAATGGTGTGGACGTAATTTTCAATTCTGGATTGAAATGGGTCTCTGGAGAGATATGCACAGGGAAGGAGTGAAGAGAGAGAACGACTGGGGAAAAGAAATGGGTTTGAATAATAATGATCAAACGTGCAGTAAAGCAGAGGAGCTTTCTTAGCTCTTTTTCCCACTTTGGAGCGTGCTCATCCCCAAACTTCTCTTTTGTACTATCCCTTCACATTAAAGTTTAGTGGTCAGTTCAGGGACATCAACACTTAGGATGCCAGGATTGGCTCACTGTGCCTTCATTAAGGAGGCAATCATTTTCACGGTTCATGGGTAATCGATCATGTAGGTTACCAGATCAAAGTCACACAACACTCTCAAGGGGAGAGAGAAAAGTTTGAACTTTATTTTTTCTCCCCAGAAACTCTTAGCGGATGATACATGAAATTTATAGAGCATGTTCAGAAATTAGCAAATGAGATGAAGTGTATTAAGGAAAGAGAGTTGCTCAGTGAATTGTGAACTAAAACCATAAAAGCACTTTGTCAAATAAATGGCGAACAGGGATTTTTTTTTAAAGTGCGAATATTTGCCGTTTAATACACTCTAATTCAGTTGATTTCTCTGCTATCATCATATTTTCGCTTCTCTTGTCAGTGCGTTTCTCTGTCAGTTTAAGTGTAGTATTGGATTCCCCAAGTGGTGCAGAGGGATTACTGTACATGAAGGCATTACTGAAGCGATCTGTTTCTTCAAATTGGAGTTCTTTTTTCCTAAGTAGCTAAAAAATACTAAGTAATTGGTCGACTCACATTGCTTTAGAAAAAGAAAATCAGTGATATAGCATCATGTGTCACTTCTTGGTCTTCTTCTACTACTTCTTCTTTCGGCTGCTCCCTTTAGGGGTCACCACAGTGTATCACCTGCTTCCATCTCAGCCTGTCCTCCTTGTAGAATATGAGTATATGTTACTAACGTTCCCAAAGTATATCACAGTACAGAAAACTGTATTAAACTTTCAAGAAGCAAGAAAAAAAATGTTAATGATGATTTACTGGAAGCAGCTTATTGACTTAATTTCTCACAGCAAGTAAGTGCACCGAAAGAAGCTGCATAGTTAAATTGTTGAAGTCGGCAGCCTGCAGCTGTTGTGCACTGTGCTTAACTTGAGTTTTCACTTCCCATAGATAGACATGCATAATTAAAGATTTACAACTGTATAAACACATTTTTTCCTCTTTCTTTCTTTCTTCTGGAAAGATGACTTTTCCACCTCCTCACAAGAGGGTCACTTGACACCGGCTAAAATCTTTATGAGCTGTCCTTGATTTATGCCAGCTGCTTCTGACATGGGTTTGAAGAGATGTGCCATGCTTAATTGAAGATAATGTGTAATTTTGGTGGCTTCAAATGAACTGTGCATATAAAATGTGGCAACACAAAATATGCAGTGAACATTCATATATACTGTGCATAATCTTAGTACAGATTCAGAAGCCCAGGTGTAAGCATATGTCACATATGCTTACACCTGGGCTTCTGAAACCATGGCTTTCACATGCTGCGTCACGCAGCATGTGAAAGCCATGGTTTCTTGTTTTTGTTGCCTGAAATTTGTAGAATAAAATGCAAAAAACAGGTTTTATTTATCATTCTTTGTCAATGACTTGAAGATGTCAAACTGTGTCTGTTCTTTGAGTTATTGTGATTCAGTAACAATGCAGATAGATAAATACTCACTCGTACAGATACAGCCACTTATAATGGCCACCTTATCATTGACGGTATTGTGATGTGTGGAATTCTGGCCGATTGCCGGGTGATGGGTGCTTGTAATGATATCTCCCGCCTGTGACGTGGATGATACAACCATGAGTAGTAATGCCCCTAAGTAGCATTTAGGAAAACCAGTGGTAATATCTCGTGTAACCACCAGGGGGAGCAGTGTTTAGCCGCATTCCTTTAGAGCACAGGTGTCCAACTCCAGGCCTCAAGGGCCGGTGTCCCTGCAGATTTTAGATGTGTCGTTGGTCCAACATAGCTGATTTAAATGGCTAAACGACCTCCTCAACATGTCTTGAAGCTCTCCAGAAACCTGGTAATGAACTAATCATTTGATTCAGGTGTGATGACCCAGGGTGAGATCTAAAACCTGCAGGACACCGGCCCTCGAGGCCTGGAGTTCGACACCCCTGCTTTAGAGGCTTGTTGCGCTATTTATTTATACCATTAAAATTTGCTCAGGGCTTCTTTAATTTTGACACTATCAGCCTTTCTATAAAATACTGATATAGATGTATGTTTGCAGCAAATAAAATATGGGTTGTGTACACCGAACAAGCTGGACAGATTATTGCTGACTTGTGTTTCTGAACATGAAAGCATAAAATGATTATTTCATTGCATTGCTAATGGTCTTATACAAAATGCAAATTTTAAATTGAAATTTGAACTCACTGCGATTGCGCTACAATATGTTTAAGTGTGTGTATTTCTGTCAGAAATATTTGGCACTTTTCTCTGAATATTTTTGATAATTAATGAGGTCAGTGAAACACTGAGTGTAGGAGTGAACCACAAAGATTTGGCACTGTGTTTAAAACTATTGGTAATTCTCGCCAGTTACGCTTTCCAAATGAATTAACAGTCATAGCATATGCATGCTTTCTCAAGTTGTCTGCTGCTAATCTTGGCCTATCACCTTTGCGATTTACTTTAATACTCTAGTTTAAAAATTTTGTGCTCTGAATGGGACACTCCAAGTCCAACAACTGGTACATGTCCTGCAAATAAATGTCCAACAGGCAGCATCATATGAGCCCTCAAACTGGATGTAGAGAATAAACCACCCAAAATTCATGGAAAAGAATCACCTGGATCCTGATGATAAATAAATAAATAAATAAATACACAGTTTGAAAAGAAGAACTTGTAAAAATATGTTATGCAGTAAATTGCCGGGCGTGAACCACCTGCATTTTTTTTAACTATCCTTCCATGCTCTGCGCATCTCTGATAAATCGCTGCAGTAATTTTAAGGGTAACTTTTACAGACAGCGGATTCCTTTGTCACAATAAGGTGATCGTTCAAACAGCTCTCTCACCCCCCCACCCCCCTTCAGAAGGCCAATGACTTCCAAACTCTGGCCAAATATCCGCTGTAGGCCATCTGTGATTTTAACACATATAAAAAGTATTCCAGGAATCACTGACAGCAGGTATTTACGCAAAACTGGTACAAAAACAATCATTTTCTTTGTATTTTCCTGAACCAGCCCCCCAAAAATGTAGCCCAAACAGCTGATAAGTTACACACCCTCTGCAGTTGAGTAAAGGGGCATGTTTATAGTGGAAAGTAGACGCTCCCCAGGAGAAGAAAGGGTGGATGCCTAGCTTCTGACATTCAGCTGAGAGCTCGCTGTGAGTTAACAGTCAGCCGGCTGACCTCTGGTTGAAAGCGGCAGTTTTCAGTGGCTATATCTGCAGCATGTATTTTAAAGTATATTAAATAGTAAATATCTAACTAATAATTTATTTGACATTAATTGCGAGAGGATGATAAATCTTACTGGTAAATACTAAACTTTATTTAATAAATAAAAGCAGCAGCACTCTTGACATTGGGAATGGCTGGTGTAAGCCTATCTGAAGTTGAGTATTTTTCACATTTCCTGTCAAATATCACACAGGCAAATTTTTGTTCAGACAGTCAATATTACCAGAAAATGAACCTTACATGCTTTGGTGAGCCCCAGATGTTATCTTTCCTCCACAATGCACCACAGAGAAGCTTATCCTCGTAGTGTAATTACTACATTATTACATGAGTAGTTAAATATCATAGGGCTAAATTCCTAGAATTCGAAACATGGTTTACGTTATCTGACTTGGACTGGAAGTTGATAACAAGTTTAATATTTCTAAGTAGTAAGTTACTGTGTGCAGAGCCACAGAACCACTTTGGGTGAGGAATATTATGACAACTGCACATTAAACATCAAATGTATCAGTACCAGCTCCACTGCAGTCTATTCTTTGTCAGATTATGATATTTGGGGCAGGAATCTGTAAGAAGGATGCAGTACAGCATAGCTTCAGTTAACAGGAAAGGCACACAACAAATGACTATACATGCCAAACAAGCATAAAGGGTGCTGTTGTGGTTTTATGTTAATTTTCAAAATAAATGAGACTAGATTCATCACATAGTGACATCAGTTTCAATCTCGTAAAATGAAGAATCCAGCTTTTCCCGTGTGCTCTGTCAGAATACAAAGCTGGTTTTACCCGGCAAGGAAAAACATCTCCAAGTGTTGAATTCCTTGGCAATAACCAAAAATAAACAAACAGAAATTAATTTAAGGGAGGAGGCGTTAGCAGTGACAGCCATATGCATCAAACTGACTTCTTACATTAAGGTGAACAAGTCAGGAAAGATTTTGTAATAAGTATGCACAAATTAGAGCCTCCAAGATGAAACGAGGGCTATGGAAAAGCAATCAAATAAAGGCTGGCAACTATAATTTCATCAGCGGTAGCACTGGGTTAAGACCTGACAACATACTGGGCCAACACTCAGCCATCTGTTTACTTTGGAGAAATTGTGCCATGAAAAGAAGCCAAGAGTAAGCATATGAAAAGAAGAGGCTGCACAAAATACATTATTATTATTTTTATTAGTTCCTCTGCTGATTTAGACAAATTATATAACCAGAGTGGCGTAATCTAGAATGGAGAAGTGCAAGTAAACATTACGATTACTGTTAGTAGTATTATGACAATGTAGGTGTCACTTAGTCTTATGTCATGTGCACAGCAAACTGGCAATGTGGCTATTCCTTATTTTCACATAACATTATGTCAGATGCCTGGAAATCATTTTTAGTTATGTTAATGCCTCGAATACTTAAGAGGCCAACAAATACTGTGTTCCTTAGATGGCATCTAAAAGAGCTGCTTTATAAAATGATGATTCATTGTTACTTTATTACTGTCCACCTATCATTTATTGTACTGTACACTTGTATGTTGCTTTCAGTTACAAAATTATGACATTCAGACTAAAACCTCAGTGTATCTAAAAGTATGTCACTATATTCTCAGCTCTCAGCTCCCATTCAGAACATGCCATATGAGATGGATTTTATCCAACGGAAGTAGCTTTCTTTTTAAAAACTTAAGGATTGTAATGAAATAAACTAAATCTCAGTTTTCTGAAAAGTCCAAGTAAGCAACTTTTGTTACAAACATAAATTCACATAAATGGTGGCTGTAGGCACCTTTTAGCTTGTGAAGCTGACTCTTAAAGCCCAAAGGTGGGGATTCTGACTTCCACTATCTTGATATTTTGTAGCAGAATGCAACAAGTAAAGAGCTGGATGCAGAAACCGAGGGAAATGGTATACACCTTTCCACTCAGTGTTGACCAGTTCAGATACCTAACCTGTTTTACCTTCCTTTTTGATTGCAAATGGGAAAATATTTTACAAAATAAATGTTGTATGAAATGTGACTTAAAACTATAATTATGACCAAAAACACTCCAGGGAAGTGTTTACTGAGGTCATAGTTCAAGAGAACAGTGCTGTCTTTTTCCTTTGGGATAGATAAGTCACCCCATGCTCTCCATTAGAAAGAAAGCAAATTCAAAGTGTTCACTGGCTTCACTATTCAGATCCAGAAGCCACGCTGGTAGCCTCATCGATTACAAAAACCAGCTGAAATACAAACAACATAGAAGAAAAGTACTTTTACGTATCTGTAAAACTGCAGCCAAGCTAGTTTTTCCAGTAATTCTTTACAGATAAATGTCCCTCAGAGGTGAATAAATTGCTACTCTCTCATGTCCAACAGCTCATTACAGACCTGCCAAATCACGCAAAAGGCAATACCCTGATCAGGCATACTTAAGTTGAACCAACGTTGCTTCTGGCAATTCACAACTGCACAGAACAATTTGATTCATACGAGTGAAAGAATACTCAGAACCAATTAACATTTACCAGTCACGAACATATAACTACCGACTAGCTGGTGGCAAACACGCGGCGTTAAGTTTTTTTTGTGTTTTTTGTGCAGACATCTCCTGTTCTTGTCACTGTCTTGGGTATGAATTATGGGTCGAGGTGTAGCAATGATCATCATGCACAGCTGTAAATGTCACAGATATTTCAGTCATTTGATAAAATATTAGTATGACCGCTGTGTCATTATTAAACCTGAAAAGATTAATCCTAACCATGATGAAGTACACAGTGATGTCGCAGTGGCACAAATAAATGCAAGATTAGGAAAAGAACCAATGATTAATGATACAAAGGAAGACTAAATATAGAAATGTTGCTTTATGTTTCATGTTGAAGTTCACTACACACCATTTAGGATGATTTCTGATGCAGCGCTTATTTTTTACTACCGATGGCAGTGATCACCTGTGGCGATCCCGGTATCCCAGCAAATGGACTCAGGTTTGGCGACGACACCACAGTGGGCCTAAATGTGACGTTCATGTGCCAACTGGGGTATGTGATGGTGGGAGGGGACAACACTTTCGCCAGGACCTGCACCAGCAATGGGACGTGGAGTGGAACCATGCCAGCATGTCAAGGCAAGTACCTCCCACAGATACGCATTTCTCCTACACTGTATCAAAGACTTGCTGCGGTGGACGTTCAACCTTGATAACCATCAGACAGCGTTGTAACAACCTTGGCATGCCAGCACACTGTCACGCACAATCTAAAGTATATGCTTACATCCAGAGATCTAATGAGATTAGCAAGAAAGGTGACACAGGCTTCCTGTGTAGTCAGATACTACCATATACTCCTCACTTAAGCGCACTGATAATGCAAATGGCAATGACACTGAAAGACATAAACCTATTTGCATAATAAGGTGCATATATTTGAAACGTACACATCCACAAGCGCGCACATAGAAATAAAGCCATTTTTAATGTGTTTCTCAAAATATCACCCGTTTAATGCAAAAATCTTGCTACTTTTTATGCTTCACTGCCTATGGCCACATTCTCAGCTGGATTAAAAAAAAATCTATATATCTCTATCTATGATGATTTCATCCCCCAGTCTAAAATTGCACCTGTGAATGCAAAGAGCCGATGCTAAAGGTTCTCTGACACCTGGTGATGGATGGCTAATAAGTCCTCTCCATCACCACAAGGATACCTCTAATTGTACCCCAACAGTTAATCACTGGAGTCCTCTCCCTGAAGTTTGTGCCCATTCTACTCTATGATTAACATCAAAGTTGGAAAATCCAGGAAGAGGACTTAGCTGTTGTACGCCCATCAGCGATACATCACTCCGTGATTTATGACGCCTGAGTGGAGGCATAGATTAGCATTTCTGCGCTTGACACTCAAAAGTAAGTATTGCAGGGAAGATTAACTTGTGCAGCGAACAGCTCAAGAATACACCAGGAAGGGGAAGAGCCCACGAGGCTAATAGGGGCTCATTGTTGCTAAGGAACTGTTCCCAGGCTGCTGTCTCAGTTACAGTGAAGCAGGCCTCTTGAGGTAGACGAAAGGACAAATGAAATGAAACAGGCAGGATGTGAGAGGTTCAAACCTCCTTTGAGTTTGTTTTTTGTGTTTCTACTTGTAACCCATATATAAGACTTTTTTTGGGGAGGATCCAAAGATAGTTGAGCTCATAAGTAACTGTTTAAGCCAGGCTACTTCTTGCCCTACTAATCTTCTCAACCTTGTCTTGAAGATTAAAAAATTACAAAACTCAGTCTGACAGTAATTGTAATATTTTATTAGTGCTATTCAATATTAACGTGCCGTGTTCTGTGGTATTTTACGGTGAAGCTGTTGGTTGAATTGATGGTCCCCACAGCTGTTTAAACTGGGAGAGAAAAGAAGACAGAGGTCAATGGGTGTATATGTGCAAGTGTATAACCCCCATGTGTGTATATTAAAAGTGTGTGACATTGCTAACCTCTGAGCGCTAATCCTTGACAGCTACCGCAACCGCTCAGCCTCTCGGTCCCCGATCCTGCTACGCTTAATGGGGGTGGCGTGGAAAGGAGCAAAACCCCAGAGCTTAGGCCTCCTCATCACACTCGCTCACACACCGCTGTGCCTGAATACAATCACACGGGGGCATTCAATTACAGAAGTGTCTCTCTCATGCATACGTAGATACAGATGATTGCACACTCACGTTTTCTCCCAGCGCTGCCACTGCCTGAATGCTGTCAGCTCCCACTGACCTGTATGCATTAGTCAGTGAGCCACAAGGTCCTCCTGCCTCTGTCTCTCCACTGCCTTCACTTTTCCGATAGCACTTATTTCTCTCATGGGATAAATGAATAAAAGAAAGGCAAGAGAGAGAGGACTTTGATTACTAAGTGGGTGCTCAACATTAATTTTCCATTCCTCGGTGTGGATGGGGTATAAAGAAGGAGTACAGACGTTTTATGCTTTGCTTTCCCCCTGTCGCTGTGCTCTTCCTGTCCTTTGGTCTCTTTCTAAGACTATCTAGGGCAAGCAATAGAAAAGCACACTGGTAATCATACGTTTTTTTATCATCACTCTCCCTGACAGCCTACGCAGTGGGACATCTCAGAAAAGGACTGGAAAAATATCTGTTTTCTTTTCTTTCATGTGAAACTAAAAACAATGCCTATTCTTGTACAAGTTTATTTTGTTTTGTTTTTGGTTTTCTGTTGTTCATCTTTCACGATTGGGTTTAAGTTGAAGGTGCTTGCAGTTCACTCAAGGTGAGCTGTTTTAAAGTTCTCACACCTGGCATCTGTCACCTTGTCATAGATCTTGGATGATTGTGCCACAGGAAACCGAGTTAGTATTCCAAGAAAGGGAGGGGGAGGAGAGAAAAAAAGTGAGAGGAAAGCCAAGAGGAGAAAAATTGAGACAAAGAGGTTTTGCATGTGCCAAGCCTGGGCATAAATTTGCACTTACTGTATGAGCATCAGTTTTAGCCACAGCGTTTGTTTGTGATGACGCATCCTAAGCCTTGCCCGGCAAGGATTCAGTTTGAATCCCGGGTTTGGCATGTTCAGCTAAGAGGCACTAATGCTGCTTAGAACTACTTACGAAAATGGGGACACTCTCTGCTTTTTTTAAAGCAAGTAATTTCAGATGCAGTGCTTACAGGATTAGAAGACCTAGTCTTCTAATCTGTGTAAATTGCCTACTTGCACACGTGCACTCATACATTTTCTATAAACCCCCCCTTTTTCGTGTCTTTTACACAGATATACCGTAAGATCACTGAAAGCCTCCAGCTACGCATTTTAGTGAGATAATTCAGAATGAAGTGCCCCTTTTTTCCCAGAGCAACAACTTGGAAATCCCAAACTGAAGGCACTCTTTACTGATTCATTAACTTCAAAGGGAAACAATTTTAAGTGAACCTGTGTCTCCTTGAGAAACAAAATGACATTAACAAACAAAACATTAAAAACAAATTGGAGCACGAGAAGGTTTTTGCTCTTATTTTTATTCTCTACTCACCGTGGCCTAAATACTGTTCTGATTATAGCACACTTCATATATACTGTATATGCTGCTGCAAAATGTCCATATGGAAATCATTTTGGATCTGCTGCCAACTGAGAACAAAAGACAGTTCCACCTTTGAGAGGATGTGTGAATATCCCACAGTGGCTTGCTCCACATTTACTGTAATTTGTTGTGCAGAGAATGAAAAGTTGCGCTAACGAGGCAAGGAAGTTGTCCGTCATGTGCCTGCCTTCTATCCCCGCGTCACTCTCATGTCATAACTTGGATAATTGTCACAACCTTTTGATTTTTGAATTGTGAAAATAAGATGAAGAGAATTAAAGGCTTCTCTGTCAGGGAGCCATATGTAACAAGCACGCATGTATTTTAAATATAAACGAATCAACTGAACTTGCCACAGTTGAAAGACTCAGATAAGGCTCGACTTCAGTTTGCAGATGTTTGTTCAAGTGTTTAACCAAACACAAGAATGCCAAAAAGAAAGAAGGGAGAAAAAGACTTGGGGGTAATGATGGGTGCTGAGGGAGGATAGCAGTGGTATAAAGCAACAGCACTAATTTATTCACATCTCTAAAACCCATATCCCATCTGCGTCCCCACGGGTTCATCTCCAAGTGTGTCAGAACAAACTCTGAGCTTTATTATGCATTCATTTATTACATTTGTTGAGCTGAAAGTTTACGGCTTACACAGACGCAAGATGCCCCCCTCATTTTGCACAGAAATTATTCTGTATTCTCCAAACAGAAATCGCTCACAGTCAAAACACAGACTATTTCTCTGAGCTAAAGACCTCATTTTCAGCTGTAATCCACACTATGCAGAAGGGTGAATTAGTGCCACCTCTGCTGCTTTTAATTTGATGCTTTTGATGTAATGGGGTTTTGGTCACTACATTGACCAGTTTTAACCTGACTTGGTTTTTTGTTTTTGTTTTTTTAAAATAAAGGTCTCTAGGAAACATTTTAACCATCAGTATATGAATAGGATGATAAAAAGCTTTTATTTCTTGGATGAAAAGTGAGTGTATTACTGTGTTTACTGTGTGTTTACATCCATCTTACGCCATCTTAACCTCAGGGCAATTAATATTTAGCAACATTTCAATTTGAAATGTAAGATTCACTACCTGTGTAGCCATATTCTTGTAAATACAAATAAATCACAGTAGTTGTTTGTCTGTTCTCCTTGAGTTACATTCAGCAGCCATTTTGGTTGCTGAATGTAACTCACCTTTGCTGTAAGGCAGAAGAAAAACAATCTTTCCTCAAGGTTTCGTTTGACCCCTCCTGCTGGCATCCAAGGCTACTAAACCCAATATTTTCAAGTTACAACATTTTCTTGTTGTAAGTTCTATTTTAGCTGAGAGTATTCATTTGCAAAATACCTTCTTCCAGCAAATATTCAGACTGTGTCAGAGAGTGAACCATAGATGATTCCAGTAAACTATCAAAGACTATATTCTATCTATGACTCTAAATACTTCAAGTTTGCTTTAGACCCTCAACTATTGCAGAGGGTGGCAGTACACACTAATCATCGATTCTTCCCTTAAAATCAGAGAGTGTCAGAATGGGAAGGTGAACTATTTCCTATTTTTTAGTTCTGGCGATTTTGCTGAGATTTGAAATTTGAGTCTTGCCCTCTTTTAAGCATTGCCTTGACTCAAACTTAATTCATTCTGATCTGTGCTTTGAATATACTCTGATGCATCTGTGACCTGCGTATCCACTCTATCCCTACAGTGGTCACCTGTCCTACACCCCCATCCATCCCCAACGGCCTCCTTGAGGGCTCAGTCCTGGAGTGGGGAACCAGCGTGAGTTACACCTGTTTACCTGGCTACGAGCTGTCTTTTCCTGCTGTGCTAACCTGCACAGGGAACGGGACATGGAGCGGAGACTTGCCTCAGTGCTTGCGTGAGTCATCGTTTCCTACGTTCATTCATGCCCACAGTGCCTTCAGGATGATTGTAATGTACAGGAAGTCTCTCTGTTTAGACTGAAATAAACCAGGTGACATTTCTGAGACTGTCAGAAACTCGGTGATTCCAACACTGAGCTTAATTGGACTGTTTTTGCCCGTTTCTAACCATAATCAGGCTTATGAAATTTTTGACTCTTAAAATAAGTCTTGCACGTATTTGAGTTTCCAGACAGCCCTATACCTGCATATAATTTTGTTTCTCACATTCATTACATTAGTTTTAAGTTGTGCCCTCCAAGGCAAAATCCCGTATACGCCACTTTTGCTGCTTTAAAAGGTCACTTCAAGTTAATGAAAGTCAAGGAATTTTGCTTAAGGATCATACAAATGAAATGAGACAGTCTGGCAGAGATGCAGAACAGAGATTATATGTGATCTCCTAAGTTACAACATCAGGGTCTTTTTTGTAAGCATTCAATCATACTTAACCCTTAAACCACTTAAAGTAAATTAAAAAAAAAAAAAAGTCTTTCTTAAATGAAGGCTGGAAAAATGCAAAGAGGAGTTGGACGTTAGATCCTGCCCGTTTCTGAAGACGTAAATAAATATTTCATCATTAGCACGAAAATGAAGCTCTTATTTGGATTTTGATTAAATGAAAAGTGAATTGACCTCTAGCCTAAGTAACAAAGCTGCAATATTAACGATGATGATGATGATGATCCGAGCGCAGCCACAACTGACGTGTCGGGTGCGTCTTACTACATTAAGACCTTTCTCGGAATCATCTTTGCAAGCATAATAATAACCTCTGGGATGCATGACTGCTCAAGAGTGTCTCGCTGTCATCTGAATCCTTCCTGCATTGTGTCAGTCAGACAGAAATGAAATATCGAGAAGGCTAGAGTACTTGCATGCATTTGCTTCTCTCTGAATATCAGTCAGGACTAAGTAGAATAAAACAAAAGCCACTAAAAATAATCCTGCTCAAACCCTTCAAGTGCCACTGTTTTGTTTGAAGTATCGCCACTTTAACTGCTGAATATAGGCAGTCCTTTCGTGCTGAGTGAAGTGCTGAATCTTGCATCCTACAAATTAAATATTGCAGCCCTCGTGTGCAAGAAATCTCTGCCGTCAGATACTCGACTTTCTATTAGGTATAGCGTTTTATTGTGTATACAGTTACTTTGGCAAGGTTTTGAATTAGAGGAAAATTGGGATGTTTGTAGTATTTCATTATCACATGTTGGATCACAACAGACTGAACCTATAAAGCCCCCTGAGCCCATTTGAAAATAGTGCATTTGCTGCAGTGCTCTCTTGTAATTGATGCTGATGACAGAGTTCATTGCTTGTGGCCATCTTCAGTCAGGCGAACGCGGGCCCATTTGGGTACTTAGCTTCTGAAATGCAGCTGACAGACTGCTCGTGTTTGTGGCCACGCTACTAGAAGCATAGTACCGCTTGTAGCCATTTGCTGTACTCAGTGGCCACATAGCAGTCATTTACTGTAAGTCAGTATGCGCACTGCTTTCTGATTTATACCCAGCTTAACTGAAAACGACCATATTTGTGCGCCGTGCCCTGATAGTGCTCTAGCAAAGCTGAGTAACCAAATGCGTGTTGTATTGAGGTACGCTTGTATCTTTGTTCGCCTGCTAAGAGTAAAACATGTCGCGTGTTCGTAAAATGGATAAGGTTCCACTTGATTAATGTCTGGAAGTTGTCTACTCCAATTATGGTGAGCGGAGTCATCCCTCAGCACACTACAATAATTTTTCCACATCATCTACCCCAAAACAACCTCCCGCAGCAACGTGAGTGAGTAACCTTTATGTTCCATGATACTGTTAAGTGTATCTGGGCAGAGAATTGTTTTTGAATTGGTAATTATATTTAATAGCCCTATCACTCACAACGCAGAATTCATGCTTTAGTGATTGTGTTAAATTGACACAAATTGAGAGGAATGCACTATAAATATCACCGAGTGTGACCAATAACCAACTTCTGTGGAGAACTTGGCTCTCCTGCTACATTACTCGCGGTAGGAACATGTATATGATAAATCACTGAGGTTTACCAAGGAAAATAAATGAGTCATTAAAACGGGAAGACAAAGGGGAAAAAATGCTGATCATGTTTGGTGTAGAAAAGGCTATTATCTGTGCTTTAAAGTGACAACAATGCACTATCTACAGCAGTCTGCACTGGTGGTTATTATCAGTTGAGAAGTCATTAGAGGTAAATTCTTCTGTGGTCAAAGTTTGTTTATGGTACTGGCCATTATTACTGGGACGCTCTCCATTTTCACAGGCAAGCTGTGAATGCCCATATGCCTGCAGTATTTTTGTATCTGTGCATTAGCTGCAACTATAAAGATAATCTTAAATATTTTCTCAAGTTACCATCTTTACTGAGGAGATTTCCCAACAGAATCATAAAGTCAGCGGGACGAATCATCAAATTCCTTTTAGCTACATCATACAGATTTGCTGCAAATCAGACCTGATAAGTTTGTTATATTTTGTATGGTATGAAATCATTTTAAATATACTGCCTAGCAGTTTAGTATACATACAGCATGGCTGCACTGCTGTCTGTTAAAAAAATATATATATAACTGCAATTTATCAACTTCAACTCAGCACTTTCTCTTGAAATACAGTTCAGCAAAACTCCAGGAGGTGCAATGAATCAGCAAAGCAAGTCTTTTCTTAATAGTTGAACTTTCTTTAGCCAGACAGGATTAAGATGCATGGCCCTGCTTTCTATAACAACACATATGAATCTCTTAAATTCAGTGTTTGAGAATGCTAGTTCATGCGTCTGCAGGGATGCAACTTTGAATGTGGCCTCTGCTTAATGATTACCTTAAAGCATCAAGGAAAGAGTGTGGCTGAAAGAGAGCGAGAAAAACTTTGACTAGTCTCTCTCAGTCTTCCATCAACACACATATGCATACACAGAAACACACAGGCGCATTAAATATGCTGAGCTTGGTTTGGCCTGGGGCCATTTCTTTTATATATCCATAAAACAGTACATTATTTCCCCGCAGCCTAAAGCTCATGACTGATGTGCATGTCACCTGGTTGGCCTGTATTGTCAACCCTCCAAAGTGCCATCTGCATACAGTCTTACAATGCCTTTTTTGAAATGACAAGAATCATTTTTCAGATCTGGAACCGTATTTGCATCTTTGCTTGCTGTCATATCAAAAATGGGTAAACCGCTGCAAACAAGGGGGCAGAAGCTTGCAATGCATCATTTTCACTGGGGTTCTAAAGGATAGGGAAACACATTTTCCAGGAGAAGATCCGTCCCTAAATCCAAGGATTTTTTCCTCAGATAACAGTATTTCCAGTAATGGCTTTATTCAGACATCCCTGGATGGGCTGGATTCTAATCACTTCTTTTACTCGATATCTATTGTGTCAGATATTGGAAGTGAGAAAACCCTGTTGGCTTTTTTTTTTTTTTTTTTTAGGGAAAAGAGCAAACAAGAACTTATCTGTCTCCAGGCCTCCATGTAGCAGCACATGTCAGGTCTGGAGAAGCAGTGCCTGCCTTATTACAGACTTGATCCCACAGTGCTCTGGCTGCGTGACTGAAGACGGTGACTCTCGCCTCTGCACTCTCACGCACTGAGCATTTCTGGATCCTCCACATCCAACAAGTATCTTTCACTGATCCACTTGGATATAGTGGCTTGCTAGGTGCAAACATTAAATAAAGAAAAGACAGAAAAATAAACTAGCAGACTGTCTCTGGACATCACAACCATTTAGCCTAAATCACTCCAGTCAGTTTGATTAGATGTCTATAAGCAATAAATTGAGGGAGCCGCAGTGGCAATCCATTGGGCATCATCTGCTGAGGTTGTGGCTTCAGTCTCATTTAAAAAAGAAAAAATGATATCATACAAGGGGCCTGGAGAGCAACAGCAGCAGATGGCTGTAGTTGTGTTAACCTCAAGGCCCTGTCAGAGAAATTAATATTCACTTGCTAATTATTTTGATCTCAAATTGAGAGCCGTCGCCCCCCTCTCACTCCCTCTTTGCTGTCAAAATGAATATGCACATACCCACCATTAGCCCTCACCAGCAAGGTTGAGTGTTGGAAACAAAAAATAATAAAAAAAGAGACAGAGTAATTCATCCAGAGACAAGGACGTCAATGCATCTGCCCACACGCAATAAAAAATGGGCAAAAGACTTTGTGCAACAAGCATAATGTCAATGCAATTTGAATAATTCAGTCCTTGAAGACTTTGCGGATCATATAGAAAGACATTCATTTTTACAGGCGGGAACGTGAATAAAGAGGATGTAATAAAAAGCCTATCAAAAACAGCAAAGCTCACAGCAGCAATCAAAACCAGTGTCGGCTCCTGTGGTCTGGTCATGTGTGGGTACAGAAGAAGCCCCCATAGCTTATTAGTTGTGAATATAATACTGAAGACTCAGCTGAACAATGCTTTCAGTTGGCTCTCTGCATGCAGTCTTCCTTTTGTGTTATGCAGCAGAAAAGAGACAGATGTTTGAATTTTAAAAAGGAGCTAGATCATTTTCTGCATTTGTAATCACACGAACAGAATATATCCTTCACACTGCAGCTGGATACGTCCTGTATGGTTACAGAAACATCTGTGCTGCTGTTGTTGATCAGGAGCAGTATCAGCAATGTTACACGTTTCCTCCTCTGCAGCCAAGTTCTGCGGTGATCCTGGGACGCCTCCCAAAGGAAGGCGAGAAGGACGCAGTTTCATCTTCAAGTCAGAGGTCACGTTTAGCTGCAGTGCCCCCTACGTGCTGGTCGGGTCAACAACTCGCATGTGCCAGGAAGACGGGACCTGGAGCGGATCTCAGCCCCGATGTATAGGTGAGGAAACAAAACTCGCTGATTCACCTAAACACAGAAAATCTCAGTGCTTGAAAACAGTTTTGGAGTTTTCCACTGTAATTACATTTTTCATTCCTAATTATATTACAACAAACAAATGCGCAAGAACATAAAGAACAAAAGGGCTGAAGGTGAATGAGAATCAGGCTGCCATCTGGTGCTGATGTAAAACTAAATCACAGTCTAAAAATCATTTATGTGCCTCTTTATTTTCATCTGATGTGAGCTGCTAAGGAAATAAATGCATAAAATAAAGTGCTTTTTTGTAATTTAAAGAAAATTGAAAACCAAGAAATGCATTTTATTTCCGGTCATGTTACTGCGCCACATCAGTAATGAAACTCCAGAGAGAAATCTTTTTTTTCACTGTCGCATTCTAATTTTTCCAGAGCCCACGAGAACCACGTGTGAAAACCCGGGGACACCTGAGCATGGCTTCATGAATTACTCAACAGGCTTTAAGGTGAACCGAGCAAAGATTGCAATGAATGCATTTCATAAAAATGGCTGTAGGCACTTTAATTCTGGGGTGATGTGTGTTGTGTGTGTGTGTGTGTGTGTCTTGTTTAGGAATTTATGGTATAAAGTTGTTTGAAATATTAGAATTTCCACATTTTCCACTATATCTAACAGGTGTGAACACAAAGCACCCAATCAAAGTAGCACTCACTGTAACTCTGATGTGTTAATCACCCTTCGTTTTCTTCTAAATGTGCAATATCCAGTGGATTTTAGTAGGTACAGTTATCACGTATTCCTTTGGATGATGTTATGTGGGTGCAAGGATGTAGCAGAGAAGTGCGTGCATATAATTCCCCAAAACCAACTGGATTTCTCAACCCCCTGGAATGTCCGTGGGGAGATGTGAGGGAGGAAAAAAATGCATCTTAAAAAAAATAAATAAATAAGTAACTGGTGGTATGACCATTGATCTGTGCTCAGTGAGATGAGATGCTTTCAGTCTGTGTGTTTCGCTTTATTTTTGCCCACCCTATTGCTTTTAGAGTGTCACTTACAAGTGCAATTTCTCCACGACATTCAGCTGAATGTGTGATATGTAATTTATCCCATATGAAAGCATAGGGAGCTTATTTAGATAAGTGCTTGTAATGGCTGTAGTCTTGCATTTTTCTGCATTACTGAACATTTTTACCAATATCCTGAGACTACCGAATGAGAAAATTCACTGTTGATGATGTCTTTAAAGAGTCGACTGGGATGGTAGCAGGAAATAAAAGTCATTTATTAGCAGAACAGAAAGCAGTTGAATATTTTAACCAGAAAGTCATCTTCCTCACTCTTTAATGTCTGTGCATCAGTTGCAAACACAAACATGGGCCGTCGCCTCTGGGAATAGCGTCCATCTGCCTCTACACGCTACAGATAATCATTAAAAAAGTGGAAAAAAAAAACATTGGTGTGTCTGTGTTTTTTCCAGGCTCTTTAGTTTGATGCTAGGAGCCTATTGACATTTGCATCATTGTATTGACTTTTTTCACTTTGTGTGCGGTGTGTTGGTGGCCAGGTGGGCAGCAGAGTCGACTTCCAGTGCCAGCAGGGACACATACTGCAGGGCTCCACCACAAGGCTCTGTTTGCCGGATCTCACCTGGACTGGCACCCAGCCAGCCTGCATCTGTAAGTGCTTGTTCCTTATGCTCTAACTATATCTTAACATTACTCGTTGTTGTTTTTCACTACTCCTTCTGGCATCTTGTCGCTTCTTATCCGCATTGCCGACTGCTCCAGACGCTCTGTTTTTGCTTTTCCTCAACACCCGTAGCACCCATCCTCGCACTGTCGATACCTCCCCTCAGTAACTTTTCACATTCGCTCAATCCTGCCATAACCTCTGGCCTCCCAGTAGATTGCAGCTTGCCCCTCAATCAACCTGCCATCATCCTGAGACTGTACTGAACACTGTGATCACTGTCCTTCTGTTTAAACTCCCCGAAAAGTCGACCGACACTAAACTATGGCCGTGTAGTTTAGCCCATTCACTTTGCCAAGATAAGTGGTTTTCTAAAATGTGATGTAGTCCAGTATCCTAGTAAAACCCTTTCAGCTACAGTGGGTTTTTTTTACTGGAACATTTCTTATAATAAACTCCATTTTATTAAGCACCCACAATGTAAAGACTTCAGCTGTGTGATGATAATGTGCTTCAGATGATATTTTGTAATCTTGATCTCATAACTACAAAAATATACGGCATCTGTTCAAATCCCAGAGACATTTACGCTAAGGTAGCAAGCTGAGGCATTGTAATACCTGCCCCGCGTCCTCTGCCTTCCTTGCAGCCCTGTGTGTCTGTGCATCTGCTGTAGTGGGACAAGGAGTTTAAGACGAATAGTGAAACCTTGAATATGTGCCTGCTGTGTTTTTGTTGTTCATACACTCAGCTAAAAACAAATCAGGTAAACCTGACAGAAGCTGTTTCAATAGAAACTTGATGCCACTGTATTAAATTAGAATTTCATGTTAAAGGTTCATTATATTCAGAGCATGATGATTTAATTGAAATTTGATGTTTTATTAAAAATAAAATCTCACACTTTAGAGGTCTTTCTAGGTTCAGGTCAACTCATTATCAGTCCAGTACTTGAAAACTTCCAGTTTTAGAGGATTTTTTAATGCTATTTTACACTGACTGGTGAATAATTCAAGCATGGAAAAAAGGCACCTAACTCCTAAAGGCACACCAGACTGAAAATTAGGTCTTATGGAGTGATCGATTCATATTATAAAGTTTTTATTCGAATTGATTCAAATTGTCATCAATATGCACGGGACAGGTCAGGAGAGAGGTGCAAAAGTACGCGTAAAACACAGTGGAGGTTCTGTCGTGGTTTGGAGTTGAATTTCAGCCAGTCGTGTTCAGAATCTTGTCAAAATTGCTGGAAATATGAACGCAGAAAAGTACGGTCAGATTTTCATCGTGTAATATCGTCTGGAAAGAGTCTGATTGACAACAGCTTCATTTTTTAGCAAGACCCCAAACATACTGTCAATGCAGCAAAAGCTTCCCTAGATAGAAAAACACACACTGGAAAACTACCAGTCATGAATTGGCCTCCCCAGAGCCCGGACCTCAACAATACTGAAGCAGTGTGGGATCATTTTGACAGAACAAAAGGCAGCCAACATCAAAAGGAGAGCTTTGAATGTCCTTCAGGAAGAACTATTCGTGAAGACTGCTTGAAGAAATGACACCAATGCTGCGTAAGAGTTCAGGCTGTGTTGAAGAATAAATGTGGTACCAAATATTGACTTTCAGGCTTGTTAGAACTGTAAAAATTGGTTTTGCTTTATATACTGTATTTTCATGTATGTTTGCACATGATTGCATATTCTTCAATAAATACCTGCACTTATTTCCCATTATGAACCTATCAAAATATAAAGATATTAAGAGACATTTACACAATACTGTATATAAAGTCAGTTGTTGTGCAGAGATTCTTTTTTAAATTAAGATTTTTTTAAAATTAAGATTGTTCTCAAAACTTCAGCTGAAAGCAGAAAAGACTACAAAAAACATACCTGTCTACACTTGACAGCTCCTCAGCCCTTCCTGCTCCACCTCTATCTTCAAACTGTTGACCCTGTCATCCTGCTCGCTATAGAATAATTCAGGATGTTGCACCTCCTCTGACTCCTTAATGGCATTTATTGCGAGCGTTGTGATGGATAACCCGAAAATGGAGCAGCAGTCAGAGCAGATTTAAATCAATATTATTATAAATTATAAAACTAATACGTAAAAATGTGATTTTTAACTAAAAGACTGACATCGTATTGCCGGAGGTGTGGGAGCAGCTGTTTTTGGTGAGGACTAATATCTTCAAGCAGTTAAATGATTGCTACAGAGTGAAACACATATAGTCTGTATTGCACCGCTTTGTGAGTCTTCAAAAAAGTCGAGATGACTCTGCTGCTAACAAAAGAAAATATTATAACACGAAAATAAAATGGAGGACAAATCACTAGACGAGAAGATTCATTTGAAGTCCTTTTCACGTTCTCTTCATTATTTTCCGAGGAAGCCTAATGCGTAACAATATATTCTTAATTTATATCCATGCTTAATTTAAAGCTCTTCGTCATCTTTCATCTGCCACGAGACGGACAGCAGAAGCCGAGGCCACGATTCAGTCAATTGTTAGGCAAATTTATGCTACATAACTCATTAAAATTCGTGTTTACCTGCTTTGTTTTTAAATATGGTAATTAAGGTTTCAGCCTTAATTGATTAATAATGGATTAATGACTTCCACCATGCCTGACAAAACAAGAAATATGTTAATGCCTCAACCTAATCTTAAACTTTCGTAAATCTCTACATTTCTCTAAAGACAGTTTATATTTTTATACGGAAAGAGTGAAAAATAAAATATAAGCCATGTTTATGCCTACAGGATATTGATTTGATTTGCTTCCTGAATATTCCCGCCGTGCGCATTACCGCAGTGATTAGTGCTCAAGAAGCTGCGAGCAACCTTTTTGAATATTGTGTACCAACAGAACACCCCACCAGCCACAATTACTTGAATGGGCATAAAATTATATATTTTAAAAAAAACAATGTTTTTAGGTTTTTTGTTTTGTTTTTGCGTTATTTTCTTGACTTGGGCTGTTCAGCAGGTGCAATTTCATTGCAGGGTGTGCCTACTGTGGTTGCAACTTTTCAGGAGCTGCTCTCTGGCCTTGTTCCATCACCTGTAGTGGCTTGAAAAATGTATTGATTTTACCCCTGACCTCCTCTTGTCATTGTTAGCTGGAATTGAAAACACAGTCTTAGAATACAGAATTTATGTTTGCCAGTCACCGCCATCTTTTACCCTACAGTTTAAGGAAAGACCCTCAAAATAAATGACTGAGAAACATTCTTAGCCTAATGCTACATTAACATTGGTCATTTGAATACTCTAATCGTCAGTAGGTTAGCTTGCCATGAAACTTTGTGGCACATTAGCTTATTAACTGGCAGGCAGCATCACATCCATCAGATATCATGCATTCATGCCACACTGTTTTCCTAATATTTTTTATTGAAAGACTTCTCTAAATCAGATGGTCATGCATATAAATTATTTGTGCAAGTAGAATCTCTTTTCACTATGGCACAGTTCACACTGGCACAGGCTTCTTGTGAATAGAAAACACGAGATGTGTTTTTTATAAGTCACAGTAGCTCTAACCCACACCTCCAATCGAGCTTCATTGATTGAACCTCAGGTTTGTTAACTAGATTCCAATTAGCTTCTGCTGTTGTCATTAGCCCAGAGGTAAATGATGTATTCAGGAGGGACCTGAACAATAACTTGTGTGCTGTGTTGTTAGTTAAACTTGCTTGTGTTGGTTCATAATTGTAACTCCTGGCATTAGGACTGAGCAGCCTGACTGTTTTTTGCAATAGCATGTGTCATTAAATAGTGCATGTGGTTGCTATGAATTGGAGATACAAAAAAAAAAAAAAGATTTTGGTTTTATAAAAACTGCGAATCATTGTCCAGTAAATTAATGACAGCCAAGTAATTTTTTATGCGTTCATGCCTGGAGATGGTTACACAGGCCCAGTGGGGTGTCTGGCCCAAAAAAACATTGTGGATATGTGGTTATGTATATGTATTTCAGTGTGAGTGCTTTTGTGTGGATCCAACACTCTGTTGTGACCTTCGGTCAAAACACAGTCATAAATCCTCTAAAATACCTTTCTCTATGATTAAATGGTCCTCTGTTACTGTGAAGCCACTTAATGGATTTAAAAGTGAAGCCAACCAATCTTATACAGCTGGCAAAAGCAAAAACTTGGAGGGATTATCAACACATTTAATGCAATTGATGCAATGGACGCAAGTCAGAATTTAATATTACTGGCTCTTACTCTTGTTATCTCTATCAGATTATATTGTTATATAACAATATTATTATTCTTTCTCTAATATATAAAAAACTTGAATAAATCAAAAAACCGAAAGACCTGTATGCCAATGTCAACAGATTAATGAGATTGCTTGTAATAAATAAAGTTGTGTGTTACAAGAAAAGAAAACATTGTAACAGATTAAAAGTTAACTTTATGCTATCGACCGTGGCCTGGTGTTACTAAAGCTGGCTGACCTTCTTGTCCCTTCCAGAAATCCATCAGCATGGCTGTCTCTCTGTGTCTGCCTCTGTCTACCTCTGCCTCTCAGTCTGTATCCCTAGCCCCGTAGCTAAGAGATAGCGGCGTTGAATGAAGAACATTGCATGTTGTCGTGTGACACAAAAACTGTTCTTTGAGGCTCCTTGTAATCTCAGAAGTAAAGCCCACTGTGCCGTTTGAAGTGTAAATAAACTGTCAGCCGAATCTGATGAGGAACATGATATGTGTTTGGTACAATTCACAGGCCTTGTAAGTGCCTTTAGTATTCATGGTCTACAAACTGTGCACCACACTGGACATGTGCTGACAGTCATTTTAAAGGAGTTACTTAGACTTGTCCTCAGGCAGTAGGGAGGGAATATAGCTTTATGTTTCTAGCTTTAATATCTGAGGTAGTTTTGGTTTTTCTTTCTCTTTTTTTTGCACTGTGTAAATAAAAACCACATTAGCTTTCCTAATCCCTTATTCATAAACTCATTAAAAAAGTTCTGCGTGGCACACGCTGTTGATCTAAACAGTTTTTTCTAATGCATGCTAAATTGTTACATCCAGTTATAAGTATATGATGCATTAGATGAGCTTTCTGCTAAATTTCAACACAACCTTTACCTTCACTGGCCTCTTTTACTTCCTAGAAAATGGACACTGTGCTTGCAGACATGCACACTCACCCACATATATAATACTACTCGAACATTTCTCAAACACCAGCAGCAGTAATATCCAGAAAGAGGAATTTCCAGCAGTCTGCTCGTCTTTCATAAAGCCCAAACTGGGTTTCATCCTGGCATCCCTTCCACACCCTATTGCCACTAATGTCATTAAGACGCCATGAAGAACTGATTTGGTACTGTGACTCACTTGCAGCTGTCTCCCATTTGACAGCTGGCAACATATTCTTTCACTCACAAACTGCAAAATTATTTCGCTGTTTTCACATTATGGTCGATGCCTCAGAGGCTGAATGCTCAGGTTTTTTTGGTTGGCAGGGTGATTTGCATAAACTTTTGTTTCGTAGGGAGAGACTGTTGAAGTGAAAATTTAAGCTAAGTGTAATCAGTGTATTCAGAAATTGAATTCAGACTACATAAGACACTGGTGTTTTGGCAAGACGACAATAACAGTGTTTGCCCCCAGTTTGTTATTCGTCTAAATGCTATCCTAAATTTCTCCCTGCTTTGTTTTAATTTTTGGAAACAGAAGACAGGAGACAAAACACATTTCAACACTTTCGTGGATGGGAGATTTCACTTTCTGAATTTTATTCTTTCCAAATAAAACATGACAAACTATTTAGTGGTTGGTCATTCGTTGTCACGGAGCTCTCACGCTTTTTTTCTCAGTGTAGTCAGCCCAGGCTGCACCCTACATGCACTTTCTCATGCTGTACACTCTCACAAGGTTTAAATCAACGTTTGCTTCAGCACTTTCCTTTCCCACAAGGACACCAGTGAGCTTAGTCCAGCTCGGTCCTGCCCTTGAACATTTTCGATTATTTCAAGATATACACAAACACCTCCAAATGTTTTGGGGGGGTTTTCAACTGCTAGCTGAATTACAATGAGTTCACCTAGACCTTGCGTTGCACTGCTATAGCATTTAAACGCAGGCATTCCTTATTGCTTGCAATCTGTGACCGGTAGCTGACACAGTTAAGGTTTGAATATAATTTGGCTCCCGCTCATGTTGGAGGAAAATTCAGTGTAAAGTTAAGCAGTGCATATCCTAACCCACAAGATTGTATTCATATTAGAACAGAAACATAAACATATTAAAGTATCAGCATGCTTCCTAATAGCTGCCTGCACTCAATTAAATTGTAAGATATGTGTACTTCCCTTTTTACCCCCACCCACCCCCTGTATCTTCTTCTTCCTCCCCCTAGTGAGAGCTTAATTATCTTTTCTCTATCTGTACATCTTTCTGAGTTGGGTGTGTGCATGTCTGTGTGTGTGTGTGTGTGTGTGTGGTGCACGACTCTATTTGTATGCATGTCTGGGATTGTGATGTGAATGCATGTGTACTAACACACTGCTCCTCTGCTTGATATCCAGCTCACTCCTGCAAGCAGCCGCGGAGCCCAGCCAACGCTGACGTCATGGGTCTGGACCTGCCTTCGTACGGCTACACCCTGGTGTACACCTGTCAGCCAGGTTATTTCCTCTCCGGAGGTTCAGAGCACCGTGTCTGCCGCTCCGACGGCAGCTGGACTGGCAAGGTGCCCGTGTGCAGAGGTACGTGGCTGGCAGAGGTCTGCGGGGGGCAAATGATTGAAAAAGTGGTGAGAAGGGAAAGAGTTGGAGTTAAAGGTAAATCAGCCAAAACAATAACGAGGTGCGTTCTGTGAGCCCATCGCATAACTGCCAGCAAGTTTCTCAAAGTTTCATCATTGTTAGCGTTAGAGCATAGCCACCACAGGTTTTAGCAAAAGAGAGAAAAGTACAATGCAGGCAGTATGTTACAGCTGAGTGCTATTTGTTTTGGAAACATCCTCCAGCTGTTAGACCCTGCTGCGCATCACAATATCTTTGTGACAGATATATTTATGTTCTTTTCAGCCGGTTCCAAATCGCATGAGAAAACTGTCAAACATATACTGGGAACACCAAGCCCTAAAATAAACGGTGAGTATTGAACTGTACAAGCTTTCCAGTTAATACACGCAGAAGTCGACAATCCCGTACTGCATCTGCCGTTTGATAGGCTCGGCATTAACTGCTGCACAGAAACATTTTGTTTCTTAAACAACAGGAAAAAATCATCTCCGTACAACCAACGCTCGCTCTTTTTCATTGTATGCACTCTGCATAGTGTGAGCAATGTTTATCTTCATCAGATCACATAAAGAATAATTATGTACTGCCTTTTGCATAAAACCCAGTGTTGTAGCGTAGTATTGCAGGTTATAGGTTCCGTAGAGGAGAATTATTAAAATGATGAAAATTATTGGTGTAGAGTGTGGTGCATATTTGTTATTAAAACTACAGCATGTTTCCTTTTTCCATTTCAATATATGCCTCTTTCAGAGTCATTTAGAGCAAATAATTACTGCAAAACAAGATTTAAATCCAATTTGTTCCAGGCAAAATTAACAGGTCATAATAGGGAGCGATATTCGCATAATATACGTACGACGCGTTTCATCTGTAATAGAAAATGGTGTGATTACTTGTAAAACTGTACCACAATACATGCATGTAAATTTATGCTGTAATTATGATGAAAATATACTAAAGTCTCTGAATTTGCCATGAGCATCGAAGAGCACTGTAGCGCATTAAAGAAAAAAATTTAAATGTGTTCGTTTAGAATATGCTAATAGAAATTTTCATTAATTGGTGATGCATATGTGGTTCAAACATGAAGCTTTCAAACATGAAGCTTCCTCCCAGAATGAAATCTGTATTTTTACTGCCAGGTTCTTTCCAAACCTTTAGGACAGTTTTCATCCTTGCCAAATGGACTGGTACTTATTTAGTACTTTTCTATTCTTACTGAGCACTAAAGCTCTTATTAAACTATTATGTTTTTCTGTCAGCTTCAGCTGTACTTGAACTGTTATTCAGCAGATTCTGATATGCTAACATAATGTAAGATTGTTAACATGGTATCTGTATTGTAGGCACCATCCTGTGTCCATGTTAGATATAAGCACGTAGCATATACCAACATATCACTGTAAAACTAAAGAGGCGTTAGCAGCTCAAGACTCTTGGCTGCTTCAAATGTTGTCAGTAAAGCCTGCACATATCAAGACTGTATCATCAAGGCTTGTGTTATCAATACTAAATACTTTGGCTAGGTAAGCTGTTCATATTTACTCAGAAAGCCTAAAATAAGTAAAGTAGAGTGCATTAAGACATTTAAACACAGAAGAAAATCTTTCCAGGGTTCTGTGCAAAACACAAAAAAAGAGGTTCCTGTTTTATTTTCCCTTTTAACATTTTCAATTCTCATCTTTACACAAATTAAGTGACCACTATTGACCATTGGCTACCAAGTCCCACTTCTTCAGTAATTACTAGGTTATTATTCAGACCAAGATTAATGTCTTTTCCTGCTATTAACTACAAAGCGTCACCTTTCTGCGTTCTTGCAAGCTAGAAGAAGTTTTTCCACTGCATAATATTAAAAGTTTCTGCCGATTTCACAGAGCAAGCCCACAGTTATCGCTTTAAAATTGTATTTAATTATCACTGGCTGAGATTGTCAAAGCATATAAGGAACTTGATATTCAAATTGAATGACGAGATTGTTATCAGCTGTCTGTTATGTTGATTCCACGCCGTTTCTAATTAACCTTTTGCAGCGTTGGAGTCGGCTTGAATTAAAACCATGATGTTGACTTGATGTTTAAAATATACGTGTTTGAACCGGTAGTTACCTAGGAGTTAATTTGATGTAAATTTTTTTTTAATGACAAAATGTTTTGACATTACTTAGCGAGGTTTCATTTTCCCACAGTTCCCGATGACGTCTTTGCGCCTGATTTCATCTGGAAGGGTTCATATGATTACAAGGGCCAAAAGCAGCCAATGACTTTAACAGTCGCCAGCTTTAATGCCACAACGGGAAAAGTCAATGTAACTTTAAGAGACAGTAGCATGGAGTTTCTGCTCTCTGGTGAGTCATCAATAAATCATCTGTCTTCTACATCCTTCCCCCTAACCACCCCTCAACAAATCTGTGTGTCACTTCCATTTATTTTGAGGATGCCTCATGTCAATCAGTCAATCACCAAATGATCTCATGCATGAGAGTGGAAATTAACTATTGGCGCTAAAGACGGATGTATCAGTCTGCAGCGAGTGACTGACTAACTGCCCACTCAAGAGTCACTCGTCTCCTCCCCTCCTCCCCCAGCTGTTTCTTCTCTTCTCACCTCTTCTTTTCTTCTCCGGCTTTTCTTCATTTTCCCCGCTCGCTTCTCTCTGCTTTTATCATTCTGCCACACTCATTGCCTCATCTCTTTACTCGCATCATTTCTCTTCTTGTCCTTACCTTGTAGGAGTCTACAAACGCCAGGAGGCACGGCTAATGCTCCTGCTGTACCAGATGAGAGCAGTGGCCCACAGCTCCTTGAGCAGGATTACTGATGAGACCTGGGCAATGGACGGATTTGTGAGTGTAAACAGGAATTTGAATCACACGGGAAGTAATCTTTGGAGAACAAAAAGCAGGCGCTGCAGCTGTAATTTATTTTATTAAGTCTGTCAGACAGATAGAATGATGAGAGAAATGGGCTATAACTAGTTGGAAGCCAAAAATAAGCCTCCCCTGGACTTAATGAAACCGCTGTGTCCTTATTGTTTGCTGTGATCCTACTTAAGAGCGCCAAGAGATTTATAAAAAAAAAAAATCATAACATATGAGAAAAGAATGTGCTCACAAGCAGAATAGTAATTTCTCGGCTTACTGTGTGTTCCCGCTGGTGCATGTTTACACTGGCTCAACATCAGATGCATCAGGCGTGGTGTACAAACCATTTCGCTGCACCTGCACTGACAATTTGCTGAATAAGCTCAGACGTACACCTGAGATCTAAGGGACCCGGAACAACTGCAGAATCATTTTGGTTGTTAAATTTGAAGTTCTTTTTCTAAAATAAACTTCAAGGTCCACTTAATAACAGCCACTGACAGGCGACTGCACACCGCCGAGCTATTGATAGCATAGCTCACAGCTTCTGCAGAAGAGTTTCGGAGAAACAAGGGTTATTTTTGAATGTAGCACGACAGAATGTGTCGGCTGTCGTGCTAAATACGGTATAGCAGAGGTTTTTGATGACGCGTAGAACAGATGTGTCACAGATTGTATTTATGCAGCTGAAACAAAGCACTGTTTTTCAAGACCTCCGTTATGCATTTCTGCCAGGTTTCAGCTGAGCCTGAGGGCGGTAGCTATGTGTTCCAAGGCTTCATACAGAGTAAAGACTACGGACAGTTTGGGCTACAGCGACTTGGTATGCATTTTTTCCCTCTTCAAATACAGTAATCCTCATTGCCATCTGTCACACATCCATCTAACCATCTTCCATTTTTAATAACATGTTGTGTATAATTAATTTGCTTGAATTTTTAAACTTTACTGTGGAATATCTGTATAGGTTCTCAGTCATCCAGGTCATGGTAGTCTTAAGAGCTTGTTTAAGTTTTTTGAAAAGTTTCCCCTCAAAATTCCAGGTATTTAAACCTTAGCGGGGGTTGTTGTTTTTTCCACACTTTGGCTCATGTGATGGCTCACATGGTTAATTGTGGGTCAACAGCCGCATCCTAAAGGACTGTCATTTTCTTTTCAAGCTCTTAAGACTTTACTGTGGAGCAATATGTGCGACTCTACTCTTAATGTTCATCTGCATGATTTCCTTGAATGATGATCCTGCTCCAATGCCCAACCTCTGCTGTTTGTCTCATCATTGTTTCGGATTAGGAAATTGCCGTCATATATTCGTCATGGATACGTGACAGCCGAGATATTGGTCACTGTTGCTTGTCGCTTTCCTTCGGGACAGGCTAAATTTGTCTCGATATCGTTCCATCTGAGCTGAAGAGGTTGGAGAAGGACACTTAACTCCAGCACACATGCACCAAAGACACTTTTAAAGGCATTCATGTAAAGTATTATTTAAAAAAATTCAACTCCAAACTGAGATACTATATGAATAATATGGCTGTTATACTGGCAGCATTCATACACTTAAAGTGCCTTACTCCTCGTACCTGCTTTCAGCCACCTCTTACCTCAACCATACAGCGAGCAGCAGATTATCCACTCCACCATCATTGCCCTTCACTTGTGTGTGCTCTACATTAACGCTGCCATCATCATATGATGGTCTCCAGGAGATTATAGCAGTCACAGTGATCATCATCAGTATGATCATTATGGATATCATCTGGCTGCTGTGTCTCCAACTCCAGCTTTATGATTTTCATCATCGTCGTCATTACCACCAACAGATATGTATCATTCTGGTTTTTTGTCTCTCTATTTTGTTCTTTGCATTTTTTTTTCCAATGCATATAGTGCATATAGTCTCTGTTTTTCATTTCCTCTGGTTAAATGCTGCGTTTGCCATGTCGCAGGTTTGAGCGTGAGAGAGAACATTACGCTCACCGACCCTGAAACCAACGGCTCCACCAACAGCAGTTCTGTCGCTGTCGCCATCCTCGTGCCTTTCTTTGCTCTCATCTTTGCAGGCCTCGGTTTCTATCTCTACAAGCAGCGGTACGTAGTGAACCCTGGTTTCTGCCACACTAGCTGCCGTAGTGGACATCTCTTTGGTTCCCACATGTGAAAGAATGCAGAGTCCGTGTTCCCAGGTTGAGCTTTAGTAATTTACTACACGCTTGATGTCAAAGTTATAGATTCCCAGATATTTCTAGATGTCTTCACATTTGCAGCCAGTAGTGGATGGTACACAGCGGCCCACTTCCATAGTCTGCTTTATCGCAGTAAAGTTCCTCACTGGATACAGTAACTTACTTGTGAGAGACTTCAAAGCCTGATGCAATATTAGTCAACGTATTACCATCTAAACCGTATTACACAGCAGCATGCTTTAGGTTTTTTAATGAGAACGGCTTTGATACAAAGCGTAATTTGCTATATGTTCACACGTGTAAGTAATGCACAGGGTGTGTATTGTGTGCAGATGGAAGGATTTCCCCTTAATTTAAACGGAATAGCTCTCAGAGCATAGCATGCACATTTTGCACTCATGCAAATTTTGCACTCATTATGTTACCTACCAGAGAAACGGCACAGGGCACCTCTGACTGCTCTTTTCAACAGTAATTACAATTCAGTCTCATTTACCAGCTACAGCAGTCCGGACCAAGATAAAGTGTTTATATGATTGGAAGGATGGTAGATAATTGGCTTACTATCTCTAACTAATATGCACCCTTCCATCCTTTTTTTTTCCTTTTTTCTCCCCAGGAAAACAGATAAAGCGCAGTACACAGGATGCTCTGTCCACGAGAACAACAATGGACAGGCCACTTTTGAGAATCCCATGTATAACACGAACACGAAAGCTGCTGAGGGGAAAGTTGTCCGCTTTGACCCCAATCTCAACACCATCTGCACCATGGTTTGATGTCTATTGAGTATCAGAAAAAGGACCGGAGAAAACAACCTCTCCGGGTTTGCTTCACGTGACTATATATAGACATATTTATATATTTCCCAGTTTCTAAAGTCACCGAATTGCTCAGAAACATAAAGCACACTTTCAGCAACACTTTCAGGTGGTTGCGATCGATCGTATACACAAAGTAAAAGATGAAAGAGTGAGGACGGGTAGGTACCGCACCTATTCAGATTTTCCCCTAGTCTGGTGAGGAGAAGTGTTTTTTTTGCACTCTGTGAGTGTTGGCTTTATAAATAAAAGAGCCTGCGGCATATAGATAAAATAGAGTATTTTATACTCTGTAGTATAAATATAGAGGGGTTATTTCGCAATGCCAAATGAAAAATTTAATGTTTTCTGTTACAACAAAAAAGAAAAAGAAAAAACTAAACAAAAAAACAAAACAGCCCCGATCTACGCTGTTTTGTTTGCTTTCGTCTTAGTCTTACATCATCCTGATGAGAATTATTTTTCTGTCATGGAGGTGAGGAGCCTCTCAACTGTGAGCTGATCAATCTAATCTGTTTTCTGTTTTCCAAGCAGCGGGGTGTGTAAGCGCAGATGAAGTGGTAGAAGAGAAACGGCCTCCCTTTGAATAGCGTCGATGCTGAAGTCTGTTCAAAGTTATATGGTCAATTATACCTCTTAATTGGGTGGTACCTCCTACTGAGGAAATGTATGGCCAGGGATTTAATTACTGAGGTGCAGCACACTTTTCCGAGTGCCACTGGCGAGGCTTAGGCTTCTGACAACAACAGAGTGCATTTTCTTCACCAGAGATATATTTAGCATTAGTATTTATTGATGTTTGCAATGAATTTGATTTTGAAATGTTCGCACAGTTTGACAAGGCCAACTGTTCTGTACTTGTCAGTGAATTGGTGATGTGGGGACTTATTAAACTGGTAGCTAGGTTTTCCACTGATGGTTTTTGCCTCTCAGAATAACTTTGTGCCCCAAATGAGCCAAATCTGGAGTGAAGTAACCCCCGGCCTTGAGCCTGTATATATCAAGAATTTCAAAGTAGGAGTTGCTTGCCTAATTAGTTCAGGTTTTCTTAAAAAAACAAGGTCAAGAATAACTACACTGCACAGAACATACAACTGGCCAGGTTTCCCAGAAGTTCATTTAAGCCTGGAAGTCAGTAAATTGCGCAATGATATGTGAGTGGGCAGACTGAGCCTTTTATTATGTTAATCAATATTTTGACAGCCTTATGTTAGAGTAACTCTTAAAAACAAAATAAGCGCAACTACCCCATCATCTCTAATTTTCAGAGCGGTGTGTGTTCTACAATTCTTTTGGGAAACCGTGCCTTAGTCAGTATATTCTTTATTCATACTCCTACTCTAAGACACTTGATGAATACACGGCCTTGGCCTGTTTTATTAACACTGAAACAATTTTCTTTTGAAACCATCAGCTTCTGCCAACAAATGTACAGTATACACAAGAATTTGCACACTTAAACATGAATCACCATTCATTTTAAACTCCCATCCAAGACCAGTTATGTTTTAAATATTTCAAAAAAAAAAAGTATAGAATTTGACACTGTCATCACATTTCTACATCATTGCAGTGCCTTGAATACTGTATGGGCATGTGTTTTTTAAGAAAGACATTACATATATTGTATTAGTAAAACTGCACACTGGTGTAATTTATCTGCACAGTTTGCAATGATTTAGCAGAGTGATGTCAGAGGGTTTATCTGTGACGAGGCATCAAAAAGCAGCTCATAGTTTCATAACTGTGCATGTTGGCAAAAAGTGATCCAGTATAGCAATTGCTGCTATAGTACTTTGTACCACTACGTTGACTCCTGTCATTGCTATTCCATTTTGTACATTTATACAGTTTTGATACTTGATGGCATTCTTTGGCAAGATGTCTTGTGTTATCGATATGTACTATATTTTGCAAGTTTCACATTTCTTATGGATGAAAAAAAAAAGAAATGCATCTGGTCAAAACAGTATACAGTCAGTCTTACACCCAGAGACTCCGGAGTAGAGTAGAATGCTTTTAAATGTACCACCCAGTTGTTATCCCGTTCAAAAACCTGTGAATAAGAACATGTACATATAACAAAACTTTTGTAAAGAGATATATTTTTTATGCAATTAAAGCATTTGTAAGTTATTGAATATGTTGTGTAAAATTTCACATGTAAATGTCATGTAAGATCAAAAAAATTTGTATTTTTTCTTTATCAGCAATGTATAAATCGTTAATTTATATATAAAATATAAAATAATGAACATGTGTTGATGATTCTTATTTCTAATTTGCTTGGTTCTGTTAAAAAACTGCAGTTTATTTGCTTTGTAAAGAAAGTTTTAATAAGCACACTTCCTGATTCAATAGGAAGTAAGGAGGTATGTAGCAGCCAGGTGTTGCTAATTAAATACACTTGATGAATTGGTTGGGAAGTGTGAGCACCTCTATAAAAGCGCAAACTTTGGTAATTTGTTGGACTGGAGCATTCAGGTTTGTGCATTAAAATAATGCCAGGAGTGGATTTCATCTGTCATCAGACCATGCAATGCTTAGAAAAACTGCAAAAAACCCAAGAGCTATATCTCAAACCCCACCTGCTTCAGTTACTGTGTTAAATGTCAAAGTTCATGACAGTAGAATTGGAAATAAACTGAAGTATGGCTTGTGTTGAAGTTTGTTTAGGAGACAGCCTCTTCTCTCTTAACATGACATGGCATGACAGCTTAGATTTGTGAGGTTGCCTCTGAACGAACAGGACTCCTAGAATAATGTTTCTTTGACTGATGAGACCACAGCAGAGATGTTTGGCGATAATGCTAAGTACCATTGATGAAAACCAAACACCATATCATCAAGACGTTGTCTCATACTAAGGCTTGTTGTCTTGGGCTTGTTTTGCAGCCACAGGACATGAGCAGCTTGCAGTCATTGAGTCAGCCATGAACTCCTCTGTATATCAAAGTATTGTACAGTCCAATGTGAAGCTTGGTGAAATGAGGTCATACAACAGAACAATGATCTCAAGCACAACAACAAATCTCCAAGAGAAAAAGAAAAGAATGAAGGTGTTTCAGTGCCTCAGTCAAAGTTCAGACCTCAGCCCAGTTGAAATACTGTGAGAGAAACTGAGAACGGAGGCAGCATTATAAAGAAACTTCGGACAAAATTCCTTCACAGTGATGTGGGCGACTGATAAAGTCATACAAAAAACAGTTAGGTGGTTCTACGTGCTGTTGAATCATTGGGTGTACTTAGTTTGAGGACTGCATAGAGTAGATAAATTGGGGGTGTCGAACTCCAGGCCTTGAGGGCCGCTGTCCTGCAGGTTTTAGATCTCACCCTGGGTCAACACACATGAATCACATGATTAGTTCATTACCAGGCCTCTGGAGAACTTCAAGATATGTTGAGGAGGTCATTTAGCCATTTAAATCAGCTGTGTTGGATCAAGAACACATCTAAAACCTGCAGGACACCGGCCTCGAGGCCTGGAGTTTGACACCTGTGCTCTAGAGCTTTGAAGTCTGCCATGTGTCAATGTGATTATTAATAAATGCAGTCTTACACTTTCAAACAGTGCTTAAAATAAAAAATTTTAAAAAACCTGCTGGATTTTAAAGGTCTCTTTGTCTCCAATTATCTGAATCTTTTTTGTGTGTTTCTTGCTTCTTACAAATTTCCTCTGGAATGGGCACAAAAATGAAAATGCATTTCAGTGTACTTGGGTTTGCATACAAAATGTATAACAGGTGTTCCTTGTTTTTGTTTTTGTTTTGTTTTTTTCACAATTCTTTGGATTTTGGATGATTTCGATGATTGACCATTTATACACAATAGAGAGAGCGCAAGTTCTACAAAATGCAAATGAAAATTGAGGCATTTGAGAGAAACAAACCCCGTTCCCCCACAAAGAACTCGATTTACCATGCATGAAAAAGTGTGTGCATTTGTCAACAGGACTACATTTCTAGAAAACAGCGGAAAATAGTATCTGTGAAGTCTTTTAAGGAAGACAAATTAAACAAATTACAATAACAAAACAAACTATACGAAGGAGAAATTCATTAGTGTCCTACTGATACTGATACGACTGGGAAGAGAGGAGATAACTGTGGTATCACAGTAGAGGTGATCAGCAAGGGAGCGAGGCAGAGATCACAGAATACTCAATAAGGAATGTATGAAGAAGCCTCACAACAATCAACCCACAAGCACATGAGTGACATGAATTGGTTTGATTTCATCCCGAGGTTAAGCATGCACTTTAATAGTTAAGCCTGGGATTTGTGTATGGATTAGAAATATTTGCCAGAAGGATTTTACATTGAAGTTCCACTGAAGCATCATCAAGCAGGCTTTGCCATAGGGGTGATGATGTAAAGTAAGCCGTGCATAGTCGAGGATGTCAGAAAGACTCATGGTGTTTGCTAGGTGTGCGTGTGAAGACCTTTTAAACACTGACGCGACTCTTCTGTTTGTTCTTAGAACAGCATTCGCAGTGTCAGCTTTCTGCTGCAGTTTGTACCACGCCATGCTTCCAAATGCCCAATTAAGATCTGAAGACTTTGCAAGCTAGTGCAGCAAGCTGATTTCTCTGTCCTGATTATGATATGAGGCATTGGTAGTCTTGTGGCGTGGGCCTGTGACTGGTAAAGAAAATCAGTTTGCAGAGGTGCATGCCCGGGTACAATGATGGGATGTTCCTGCCTGCCTTTGATGTTCAGATACCCTGCGGTGCTCCTCCACTTTCATCAAGGGCTCACCAACATTCCCAGCCAGCTATATTGACACTTTACGTCATAGATGGAAATTTTTATACATCACTCCAGATTTCCCAACAGGAACTCGTCTGATATGAGTGCGCACTGTTGAGGGAATCGCTTCTTTGCCTGCATCGGATAACAAATTACATTTACAGAGTGAAGCAGAAGCCAGGAAAGTTGCTGGTTTACTGATATGTGAAACTTTTGGCTTTAATGGCCTGAACCGTGAGGTGACTAACCATCCCCTTTCTTGGTATACATTTCTTTTTTTAAAGAAGTAAATGAACCATTTTAAACCAAGTTAGATAATGTCCTCAGGTGTGTGGACTGCTCGTGATACAAATGGGAAGCTGCTGACAGTAAAATATTAGTGAGAGATGCACTCAAACGCAGATAAAGCTAATGAAAATTTTATTTCTTAGCTTCTATAGGCTTTTTTTTTCTGTCATTTGTAAGGTTTTTCTATTTTTCCCCACCATTGTTTTCCACCAAGAATCAAACCTGAAACACTTCTTTATTTGGAAGATATTTAAGGGACACAAATTCCTAATGAATCATGGCTTTAGTAGATGTATTTTCGCCAGTCATAACAATAAAATTCATGTAAAGGTTATGTCTTGGAAAATGGACTGGGATTTAATATTCTGAACCGTTTCCGAGAGCAGGGGCTGGAAGAGTTATATAGTTTAATGTACT